TGTATATATATATGTTACCTCGCTATTGACACAAATTACCGGTTCAGTCGCCTAGAACAGCGGTAATGCGCGTTTTGAAATCGTGAAATACGCAGGTAAAGGAGAAGCACGACTAGCGAAGGACGTACACCAAGGCGCACGAATGACCATAAGCTCTTCTTTGCTTCACTACATATTTCTTTGATTCATTCAGTTTGGTTCTGGACTCTCGCGGTATTAGATGCGCATGTGATCAAGCTGCGACGTTTTCTCATATTTCAGTAGTTTCTACGTTACCACTTATCATACTCTTAAATATCTATGCGGTACTTTTCGCCAACTACTTCATATCGGCAAAGAGAAAGTCAAATTATTGAAATAGAACCGTATTGAAAATATATTATCGTACAGTGCCATTTGTTACATGATGTTAATAAACAGTTAATACTTACACTTTCATGTAACTTTCAAACAACAAGTGCATTTCAAAAACTACTACAAGCTATTTTGTGATAACGAGGTAACTGTTTCAATGATATTGTATTTTTATGACGGCATGAATAATATAAGTTTGCTTTGCTAGAAAGTTCTGTATATGCTCTTTTACACTTTCTAAAAATCTTAACATTGGCATTCACTTGATTTTTCACATCACAATCAATTATGCAAATAACAATCTTGAATGCTTTTAGACGTTTATCAGTGATGTCATAGTATAGTGATGTTTCGGCTATTATTGTACATGCTTATATCATTTAGAACATAGAGTAACTTTTACTCTGTAATTTTTTATAAGTGTCATTATACCGAGAAATTTTTCCATCAAAATTGTAGGAATGATAAGAGAATAAATTATAGTAACACGCCGTGGTTATGGGAAGAGAATGACGAACTAATAGATAGTATGATTGTGTCAGAACAGTTTTCACCTTGATAGTTTTGAAAAAATTTTATGAGTCGTTATTGTAAAATTTTCCATTACTCATTGTAATATGTTTGTGTCCGTGAAGGGTCTACGTGACTCTCAATCAATACAAAAATTATAGTCACAGATCTGTTACGATTCCAATAAATTATATTTATCTTTTTTGTATTATGCAAATCGGTAATAATTAATGTTCGTTCTTAAGATTTTCTGTCATATTTATAACTTTTATTAATTTTCCTACATAAGAATTAATATTATATTGTATATGTATTTACTTTATAGTACCGCAATCATAACTTTTTCAGTAATTAATGCTCCGTGTAAAATTTATCCCAATTAAATATTTAATACATAAAAATGTTTCTGTGGAAATTTAATGTATTTATGATATAAAACAGATCTATTGTAATAAGTGTCTAAAAAGACACTTGATTATAAGTTATCATATAAAAATATATCTACGTAAATGTATACCCGAAATAAAGAAACTTCAGTGAGAATTCCATATATGTACTATTAAAAATATTCAAATTTAAATGAAATTATATACAATATTTGAACTCAATATGTAAAATAACAAATTATTATCATCTTCTGAGTTATATTTCAAGGACAATACAATTATTTTTTATTTTATTTTATTATACGTCGGAGAAATAATTTTTAGTATAAAAATTAATAAAAATAAAATAACAGCAAAGTTGATTAAATAATTATTCAATTGAAAACTAGAAAAATTTTATTTTTAACATCCACGTAGATATGTCTAATCGTTCAAGTATTGCAAAAGAAATGATTTCGAAATTTGAAATAAAAAAAAGCAGAAATCACCGCATAAATAACGGCGTAAAAACAAAAGCATTCCTAATCAACATTTCGTAAGTGTTCTTGAGATCATGCCTTCAAGTACAGAGAAATCTGTATCTATCACAATTATTGTTATATTAAAGACTACTGCCATTTGATCTGATTACTTTTTGCAAAGCTGTAACAATAGCAATATGTTATTGAATATTTTTATGGAAGGATTTATTTATGTTAAACTTTGTTCTGACATATCTGAAAATGGCAAGCTGGTAATTGTGCACATGATTATTATGCACAAAAACAATTGTACACCGTAACAACATACGTGAAAATTGATATATACATATACTGTGCCATTGAGTTTAACTTGTGTCGTGTAACTTCTCGCTCGTATTTTATATTGCGTTTTCTGATTGCTATGTATTATATTATGATTAGTAACTTGACTATATTGTTTATTTTATATTGTTTATATTTGCAATAAAATTTTTGCTTAGCAATCGATAATGTAATCTTGAAAAATTCTTCAGTTCCGTTGGACCTGATGAGGCTGGAAGACAAACTATCAAAACGCTGTCAAAAATAAATTGAGTTGAGATAGTTTTTATTTATAGTATTTGGGTGTGAACAGGGTGTCACTCTCTCATTTCTTTGCTCTATAATTTCGCAATACTGATCCATATTTCCGGTGCTCAATAGTTCATGTGTATAATAATTATGTCCACGATTGCCATCTTGCCTTGAAAATAGCACCAATATCGACGTAACCACTTTATAATAAATATTTATGAACTATTAATTAATATGAATAAAGCTTTTACATATTAAATAAAATAAGTAAGCAAATCCAATGAAACGTAGCCTGATGACAAGATAATATATAAAATTTTGTTATCATGAAATGAATTTGTTACCACGAAATCACGATAAGGTACAGTGAAATATTTACAAAGCAACATGCCGACATAATGTATTCTGAATGACTTATATCATATTAACGAAATTAAGTATGATGTGAGATCCGTAGAATAGCTTTTATTCCTTAAATCATTTCTGATACAACTTCAATAATTTCATAAGTTGGTCATTTACAAACGTTTTAAAAAATCAATTAATAACATGAAACACGTATAACGTATTTCGATATTTTCTTATTTGATTTTCTAGGTCTAATTTTTATTTCTAAAAAATTGAGTTCAATCTACCATTTTTTAAACTATTATGATAGTAATTGGAAAATTGTTTACGTTATATTATTATTGTTAGGGTTTTTTATAAAGTACATATTAGTATTATTTTAATTTATAATACGTTAGTTTGTTCGGCAAAATTTTAACTTGGGCATACATTACAAATATATGTATATATGCTCATTGTGCGCTAATCAACTTTTAAGTAATACTAACTTACGAAAAAATTTATAATTTGTTTGCAGTAATAATATTTAAATTTAACTGAAAATTGAATGTCTCTAGTTTCATTAAAATAACAATTACAGGCTGACTTCATACAACGAATTCTATGTATTAAAAAACGTGCTAAAAATATGAATAAATTTCCTAATATAAACAATAATTAATACTTATGCAATTTTATTACATACGTTTAACATTTCTAAAGAAACTTTTCTATGAAAATTATCAACTGAAGGATTACAACTTTATACAATGTAATTCCACGTTTTCAGTTTTTCAATAGATTTAAATAGACGTACAATAGATAGATAAAGTGTTCCATCTTCGTTCTTACGTAGTAGGTAAAAATAATATATTTATATTTTAGATTATAAAGTTAGACATTGATTAACTTTCAAGATTATTAATTAAAAACTTGCATCTTGATAATAGTTTTCATATTCGATATTAAAATTATTAAAATTGAATAATTATTTAAAACCAAATACGTTTAGATAAATAAATAACATTATGTTATAAACTGAAGTACGCCGTCATGTCTTAGGCGGCATCAATGCCTAAAATTTTATTTTTAATATTTTTGATTTGATCTGCCTGCTAAATTAAAATAAATTAAAGGAATGAAGGATTGGAAAAAAATTAAGGAACATGCAATAATCAAACAAAAATAATCAAACAATAATCAAATGATAAAGAAATGCTACACTACCTCACCAGTACCAGAAAGTAAATTCTTGTCTCGTGTAAGGTTTACGCCCGAGTGAAACGATGGTTGGAAGCATACGAGTAAAGCGCCAATTTCGACAAGCGTGCGGCAAAGTCGTGGTTTCTGCACGACGCATCGAAAAATATTTTGCCCGAAAAATAACTTTAATTATAATAAAAAATCTAAAGGGAGTCGTGCAATACGTTTGTTTTACATCTGTTGCATGCCGGAGGCTCAAGCGGTACTGGTACGGTCACACGAATGACAAGCAACAAGTCGCATCCAGCAAGTGCTGCCAACGCATGTCACCGCTCAACCGTCATACACTCATACATACGCATATGCATACAAAGTGTTACGACGGAACGCATTGTTCTCCTTTACGATTTATCTCATTTAAAATTATCGAATTACATTAATCTTAGAACTTATAAATTAAGTATCTCTCGTGATAACAAACAGCACATAATCATGAGTCTCACTTTTCCCAAAGGATAATTACCATTTATCAACACAAATCACTTAGGAAGCACAAAAGACGATGTTAAATAATAATCATTCAATTGTATAGCAATAATTCGAATAGTAATACTGTATAATCGTAGTATAATAGTAATAATGTCGGCAAAAACAATGCTCAATTATACCGGATCTAGTGCCAGTGCAGAGTACGAAATGTATTTCCTCAATGACAATCATTGTGTGCAGACAATAATTAATGATTTTAGCTTGTTGCGCCACGGTACGGTCACGAGATTTACGCGCTTCGTCTATTTAGAACTAATAATGACATACACACACAAACAGCGTTAAGTGTACCGGCTGAGTATCTCAAAGAGTCACGTGAGAATAAGCGATGCAATCGGCACGAGCAATAAATATAAATAACGAGTAGCTAAGTAAAAGGCCGTCGGCACTCTTGAGTGTGCATTGACGTGTGCATCTTATCGAATTAGTTTTTCGCGACTTAAATAAAACCCCGCTATCGTACACACAATGAGACAAGCTGGTGCTTATATAATTGACACACACACATATATATATATATATATATATATATATATATATATATATATATATATAATATATCAAGGCGTCAAACCACGTATAGCAAAGCAGCAGACATTTCTAATGTCCGATTGAGTATTGTTGACTCAGTCATTACCGATTATCGTGAGTGCGCGCTGCTGCTGCTGCTCTGCGTCGCGCATTTCTTTTTTCGTTACCCCTGATGGGAGAGACGAGCGTCGCTGTCGCAAGCATGGCAACAGGTGCTACTCTAAACTTCAGTATTTTTTTATTTTTCTTTCCTTGCTTTGTGCCTGTGGTAGTTTCGCGTGCTTTTGTAAGTGTTCACGCGGTCGACATTAAAAATAAGTGGTCTTTAAAAGCATTCTAGTGATCGCTACAAGTGCGCAAATAAATTCGGTTCCACCGTCATAATGAAAGCAGAGAAACAAATCTTCAATTCATTAATGTCAATACAGATGTATTGATGAATATTAGTTGAAAGATAGTGATATGATAAACAAATCATTTAAACGCTTTCATTTCTTAGAAATATAAAAATTTGTCAGCTCCATTTCTATGTTGCTATCAGAACGCTGCATGAGTTATGGGTCTCATTTTACAAAACTTTCCATCATTTGCACTAATCATCGTGTGATTCAGAAACATTTCTATAAGCTTTTTCAATGAAATTCATTAATGTAGAGGAAGCGTGTGACGAAACGTCGGCTATCATGCCAGAATTTGTGGTGAGACGACCAGTATACCAGCAAGATGATTTACATCGATTGAGTCAGTATTCGAACCCACAAAAACCACGTGAGTGTTTGTCGTGATAACACGTGCTTGTATTCATATAGAAATTTACGATAAGTCTATCTAAGCCCACAAGTCATGCGATGATCGTCAGCGACTGATGATATTGTCTGGTTTATTCAACCTTTTCTGATTTCAACTTTTAAAAACTGGCAATGATATCGGTCAATTGAATTAAAATTGATTTTCAATAATTTTCGAGATTAAACACTGTTTTCCAACCAATTACGGTTTCACGATCTGTAATAGAATTTGTTACATTAAAAGTAACTTTAAAAAATAAGCAATTACTTTTTCGTCGTTGTTATTGCTATGATGCTTAAAATAGCATATTTGGCAACGAGCTATTATTGACTTTATAAATAACGTACGAACGAGCTGCTAGTAGTTATACACATTTAGTAATTTGCAAAGTGTTTTTTGACCAATAATTAATTTTTTTTTCATAAAAAATTGAAAAAATCCATCAATTCGACTTCCATTGTAAGTTTTAATAAAAGTCAAATTAAAAGCGATCATCCTTGGCTGACTTTTATAAGACTCATAATAACAGCAAATATTTGGTTTTATCGGAACGGTAGTTAGTAAGACTATTTCAAACACAATAAAAAAGATAAAGCCGGAGTCGTGTATGAAAAGTATAATTCCTATACTGAACTGGCTACCGCGATATCGTTGGAAAAATGATATCTTCGGAGATATTGTGGCTGGGATTACAGTTGCAGTTATGCACATACCTCAAGGTGAAAGATGTATATTCATTTCAAAATGTCATAAAAATTATTTGTAGTATACCTTTGTTCTATCTTTAATCAATCATGGTGACATCTTAGAAAAATATTTTATGGATGTTTATGATTTTAGGTATGGCATACGCCATACTAGGAAATGTCAAACCTATTGTTGGAATTTATATGGCTATTTTCCCCGTGCTTATTTATTTAATATTTGGTACATCGAGGCATAATTCTATGGGTTAGTACGTTGTATAATATTTAGCAACCAATAATTGGGAATATAGAATTAAAATCACTGTTCATTTTTTTTAACTCTAATTTCAAAGGAACCTTTGCTGTTATTTGTATGATGACTGGAAAAATTGTCTTAGCACATACTTCACCCACAATAGAAGGAGTAAGTAATTCAACGATTTCTCCTTCCACCCCTAGCGTTCATGTAGATCCTAATATACCACAACCGCACTTTACACCGGAGGAAGTTGCCACAGCGGTCGCTTTTATGGTTGCTATAATGCAAGTATGTATAAGTGTTACGTTAATTTAAATATTATATATTTTTATATCAAGTTCAAATCGATGATATTTTAAAATAAAACATGTATGATTTTAGCTTCTTAAAATTACAATTGAAAAATCCTTTTATAGCAAGTTTTTAGTGAATTATAAGTCTTTATATTTATAAAAGTACCAAATAAACAATTATTTTCTCATGTCGTCAGCTAGCTATGTATTTTCTTCGACTGGGTATCATATCATCACTATTGTCAGAGACTTTAGTCAGTGGATTTACAACTGCAGCAGCAGTTCATGTACTTACTTCTCAAATCAAAGATTTGTTTGGCTTAAAACTAGCTAAGCGGAAAGGAATCTTTAAAGTTTTGTTGGTAAGTTTATATTACTTTTATGCGTTTTGAACTTCATCACCTTCTTGTTTATTACTTTTTCCTTATGTAAAATATTTTATAAAATGTAGATTATTCGATCCTAAACAACGTTTGCCTCACTTATCTTATAAAAAATATATAAAAACGTAAAACAAGATAAATAATTATTTATTAATTATAGCTCTTATCATTGTGAAGTATGGAAATGAACTCCATAATATTTTTTAAGATCTAGAATTGTCTTTATAAATTTCAATAATATCAACATCAACCTCAGAGAAACTGAAATAGAAATAAAAAATGACTTCTATAATATTAAATCCAGATAAAACAGTCAATTTTAGGTATAATTTTTGATAATGAATTGACAATCAAAATGCAGATCAATAAAGTGATAAGCAAATGTAACTGAACTCTCAATATTGTCAAATACTTTCGAAGAATCTGGTCAGGTGTAAACACACTAACTAAATTAAACTTATCATTTTCTACAAAAGTTATGTTTAAGTAATCATAAATTACTGTTGCTATATTTACTTCTCCGTAAGACAAGAACTAGTCACACAACTTGAGCAAATACAAAGTACAGAAATAAGATTAGCATATGAATATAAGAAATTTACTCATATCCGTATACTTTTAGCCGAATTAAAGCTTCCAATTATTAAAATAAAAGCGTCCGTTTTCTGTTGGATGTACATCTAGAAAAAAATTACTAAAAATGAAAGTTTTTTAATACGTCAAAAATTCTATTTCTATTATTGATGAATGCCATATGAATGTAAAAAAATTAAAAAAAACTTTCCGAAACCTGCATAAACATACTTAAAATAATTCTCCTTCTTTCTACGAGTCAAATGCTTATTTTATTTACTCCCACACCTGTAAAAAGTTCACTACAAGTATAACATTTATTAAAAGTGCTAGGCTTGAAATTAAAAGAGCAAGTAATTCAAAAGAAAATTTTTTGAAATTTTTTAATGATAAGAAAGGTAACAATCTTATTCTTTGTATATTCGTATCAAAATACTTTTGTCTTATGCTTACGTTATGCTTTGTAATTAAAGGACTGATTCACTTTACTGACTAGTCGCTACGATTGTCTTATTCTTGACTTGAAAGACAATGATACTTACAGACTTATTAAACAATGAATTACGGTACTTATTAAATAATATACAATAAATATTATTCTGGCACTCTAACATCATAAGAAATCTTAAATCCTTTAATGACGATAAGCAATTTTCTTGTTCGATGTTTTATATTATTTGCAATCATCTAATTGATCTTTATGCCAACGTCATAAAAATCTTTTCAAATATTGTTGATAGCGTAGTAAATAAGAGTTTATTTTTTACCATTAAAGAACACTAATAACCTTTTAGTTAAAAAAACGTATGAAAAAATTGAAAATATAAGAATGTTAAATAAAATTGTTATTATCAATTGCTTTGGCAAACTCAATTTAACGATTTTTCCATGTACATCTTCAGTAAATTTGGTTGTTAAAAATAAGTCGATTGAATGCATGCTGAAGGAGAAATACGTTTAACACATCGTTGATAATTTTTGTAATAATTTGGACATTGACTAAAGATATATTGAATGCATTCAATTGTTCTTCTTTTTAGACTTACTACGACATATTCAAGAATATAGACAGTGTAAATACGACTGCTATGGTAATTTCAGCGATAACAGTAATTCTGATCTTATTCAATAATGAAATCTTAAAGGTATTTATTATTTTAGACAAACTAGTTTTTTTTCAAAGTAATCAAAAAGATAAATAATGAATCTATACGTAACATATTTAATTTCAGCCACGATTGGCTAAGCGCTGCGCGTTTCCTGTTCCGATAGAAATGATTGTAGTCGTTCTAGGTACACTCGTGTCAATGTATGCACATCTAGAGACTGGTTACAATGTCAGCACTGTAGGACACATCGATGTCGGGTATGATTATTTTATTTGATTTTATGTATCTAACAGCGCGTATGTATTGAATGATAGTAACGCAAAACATTTTTTCTCGCAGGTTTCCCGAGCCAAAACTTCCTCCCATGGAGTTAATGCCAAATATTATTCTAGATAGTTTTGTGATAACAATGGTCACGTACACGATTTCTATGTCTATGGCATTTATATTCGCGCAGAAATTAAACTACAAAGTTGATCCCAACCAAGAACTGTTTGCACAGGTAGGTGCGACTTACTCACAAATAATTAACGCTGGATGGAATGACGCGGAAGATATAACCAGCAGTTTTCTCAAAACAGGGCCTCGGAAATCTGACCGGTTCGTTCTTTTCGTGCATGCCATTTTGCGCTTCGCTTTCCAGATCGTTGATCCAGCAAACTGTGGGCGGCCGAACGCAACTGGCCAGTCTCATTTCCAGCGGGCTTTTGCTTCTCGTTCTTTTATACATTGGCCCATTTTTCGAGCCTCTTCCGAGAGTAAGTCAATTTTTCTTCAATTTCATCCGCTTGATAATCTTTGTAAAACATCTAAGGTTTATGTATTTTCCGCGTTGATGCACTTTACATCATTTTTAAAATGGGTTGGTGAACTTTTTTTCAGTGCGTGCTTGCTAGTATTATAATCGTTGCGTTGAAGGGGATGTTGATGCAAGTGAAAGACTTTATTCGATTTCTAAGACTGTCAAACGTCGACGCGATGATTTGGATGACGAGCTTCCTGACTGTCACCATTTTCGACATCGAATACGGACTGTTGATCGGAGCCCTCTTGTGCTTGGCAAATTTGCTGACCCTCTCGATGCGCCCTTACGTATGCAGATTGGCTCTTGTACCCGGCACTGAACTGTATTTAGATACTAAACGATTCAAAGGAGTACGTTTTTACCAAGTCTGTTAGTGTTTCACATTTGATTTGTACTACTTAACAGATTTGACTGTGCGTTCTTGTAGACAGTAGAAATACCAAGTCTCAAAATCATCCACTATTGCGGTGGGTTAAACTTCGCATCGAGGCATAGTTTCAAAAAGGATGTGATTAAACTTGTCAATATTGACTTGAAGAAAGAATTGATGGAACGGAAATGTAATGTCCATATTAAAGATTATTCGGTCCAAGGAATGACGAAGGTAGGTGTTGGGTTTTCTCGTTATTTTGTCACGGTAATTGGTTGGCATACGTGTTGCTTGTTCGATCAATTGGAACGATTCAGAATAGAAAGCAAGAAAAGACGTACAACTGCTTTCGAATCATTACACATACTTGATTTATGACAATATTTCATGCATCAATATTTTATGTTGAGTTTTTCAGGAAAAACAAATGTCAAATGAGCATGTATATTCATCAGCACATCAATAATCACTGTATTTGACATATTCAAAAATTCTTGTTACTCAAACTTTACGTCAAGCGCGAAACTTGATAAATTATATTATCAAGCTTTAGAAACTTCTTAAATGGTTTGACGCTCTACTTTCAGGAAGGATATGAAAATGCAGCTTTCGAAAAAGACAGCATGCAAGTTCCTGCTTCTGATAGTATTAATCAGTCGATAAGAGAACAAAAAGTAAACTATATACAGTTCTTAAATTTTTATAATAAACCGTGAGCCCCAAATCCAAGTACATAAATTTACATTTTTTATATTTCAAGTTTAATTATATTTTGTAATTGAAACTGCATCATTGTAAACGTTTGAAATTACTTGGATTTGCGGTAATCATCTCTTAAAAATTTAAGATTTAAATCATTTATAAACTGAAATTATTTTTGTTGTTTAAGACAAATATTATCTACCAAATAAATAGCTTCGGTAGATAATGTGGTTATCCTTTATGCAAGAGTAGATAAAATGATATAATTTTAATCTGGCTAATATGGTTTTGGGAAGGGTGCTTTAGTGCTTCATTTTTTATTTGAATACATAAATGTATTATGCAGCTGTATTTGACTCAAATTATGTTTGCTTTCGGTTGACTGGCAAATGGATTATTTGTTGTAAACAAACTGGTTTTGGTTCTATAAACCACATTATTTAATAAGTACTTATTATATTCCGTAAATTTTTTTTATGTCATGTTCAAACGGAAGTTAATCATAAAATTAATACGAGCATTTAGTTTAATACTGTATGTTAATTTGATTTGACATACCTATTTTACATTATAAAGCATTAATTATCGTACTTATACAAATTTATAATATTTAAAAAACCTAATATGCAATTATTAATTTAATGTGTTATAACGTCTAACATAATCATATATTGATCTATTGAAAATTATATTATATTACAATAATTCTCATTGTTGAAATATTAATACTAACTATATAATTTTATTTACTTGGTTTTTAGTTGAAAGTAATAATTTTGGACTTTTCTGCTTTGGTGCATATCGATGCAGCTGGAGTGGCCACTGTTCGATGTATCGTCGATGACTTTGCGAAAATCGATGTCACGGTCTACATAACTGGATGTTCTGGTGAGAAGAAATTTATACTTGCGATTAATGGAATTAGTATAAGTAAATTATAAGTGACCTATATTATATATCATAAATAATTCATAATCTTAATTGTTATTTTACAAAAAAAAACGTCAAATATCTTATATAAAAATGCTCCTAGAGTGAAAGTTTGAAGCAAAAAAATATTAGCGGAAACGTAACAATTGCGTTGAACACGGAAAAAATGAAATTACAATATTAGCGGTAAACAGTGTAACAAATAATTGAATTCGATTGCGTAAAGTGTTATGTTTGGAGTCTCTCCAAACATAATTTCTATTAATTGTTAAAGTATTTAAAATATGAAATTAATCCTCAAAGACAATTATTTTATAATAATCAGTAGGAGAAAGCGTGGATGTGTATTTGATTGTCCACTCCCTAACTAACTTCGTCCTATCGACTACCTATTCTTTTACCTCCTAACTTTCCTATATTACCACTCAGGCAACTATGTACACATTTTCGTAACACTAATTAATCGAAAGTAGCGGGAATACGGTTGCTCGCAAAGTCGCGTATAACATCGAGAATAGTGCAACAGTCCGAATACTCTAATACTCCCATGTGCGCGTTTGTTTGTTATGTGGATAAATTTCAGTTAGTCGGACGCGTAACTCGCGATGGAATTTTATTAGATTCGCAGGAATGAGTTTTTACTCCTCTAACTTCGTAGAAGCCTGACGCTTATTTTTTTTTTAGTGCTAGATATCAAACGTCGAGAAGCTTGTATATAGTATAGTAACATTTTACTTATAATCTGGGTGTTCTCGCTCCAAAGCCCGGAAGAGTTTCGTTGCGTTTCAATTTCGAAACCCACGTTGACACGATAATGCTACGAAGTTGAACCGGTTTCTTTTTCATTCAATAAGAAAAATGTGATTGTCCGTTCTTTCCTTTCTCTCTCTCTCTCTCTCTCTCTCTCTCTCTCCCTCTCTCTCTCTCTCTCTCTCTTTCACTCTCTCACTCTTTCTCACTCTCCCTCTCTCAGAAGCTCGAGCTGAATATAAGATTACACAATCGCAACTGTTTCGACGAGGGTTCCATTCAATTAATCTGGCATGCTCGACACTACTTTTCGAAAGTCCCAATTAAACTTTATTTACGGCATAATTGTCGTTGAGTATTTTATTTCATAGCACGAGATCGTAATAAGCACATAATTTTCACGTATATGTAATAGCATTAAGTCAAACAGATCCGTGAAGGAGGTTTCCGTTATATATATTAGGGGCGTAAAAGCGAATGAAATAATTTATTGTTGGAAACGCAATTTTTTTTTCAAACAGAACGCTGATCACAGAATCAAAGATATTCGCTGCAATGTCAATTGCAATAGACGATCAAAATAACCGAATGCGATGTATATAACACGAGCGATTTGACGTTTTAGGCCCGGTGTACGAGACAATGCGAAAGTGTAACGCAGCCGAGAGCAAAGAGGGCTACTTCACCATGTTCCCGACGGTGAATGACGCCGTGAATTTTGCCCGGCATAAGAACCGCATTCCGCCTCTTCCCGTTTGGACGGCCACACAATCTCTACAGCCCAACGAGAATTGCATTAGCCGCTTGTAAATATCTCCGTTAGCCTCGATGAATCAGCTCTATGTCGCCCTACCGCTACAGCTGCTGCTTCGCTTTTAAAGGGCTGTATACTCTGCTTTGCAGTCACTTATATCATTATAATGCCCAAATGACTGTATGTAAATATGATTCTCTATAGGATATATTTCTATATATATATAACACATATACATCGTACTGCACGAAATATGCTTGGCTAGTTATGCTCTAGCGCTCATTCAATTCATTACTTTATATAGACAGAAATTTTATTTAATTATTCTTTTTTAAACTTCGTACGTGCTTTTTTTGAATCCAATGATATTTTAAAGAAAACATGAAATAGAAGAAAAAACGATTGTATTCAGAAGCTCCATCTACACCCGCTCTGTGAGCACTATATTATATTATACTACATATATACTTATATACGCAATATATAGTTATTTATCAATTTGTATATTAATTAGATTTTAGAATAGTTTTCTAAATGACAATGCAAGCTCAATTAGAATATGATATGATAGAGCTTTGTCTATAAATTAAGTTGGTTATCAATAACATTGACGATGACTATTATGAATGACATCTATTAATAAACGATCTGAATAATTTGCATAAAAAATTGATGCATAATATAAGGTACTGTTTTAATTCAAATACTAAGTGATATTTAAAGATTATTAGGATGAAAAATACTGATATACTTTGTTACTTTTATGAATAAGTTTATTATTTAAACTAATGATAATAAAATATTAAATTAAAGTAGCAACGTGAATATTTAATTATACGTAATGATAGTTATTTGTATGATTTCAAAGTGTGTCAGAAGCTTTATTGTCACAATAAACCTTGACTATATCATATTCGATACAATAAACGAAATAAATTTTCTTTATTCACTTTCTCTATGATAATTTTGAATGCGAAAGGCAAACAAACTATCAAAGCACTGCAGAGTCTCGACGGATGAGAATTATTTCTATACAATAAAATATCAAAATTTGAGGATTCCTATTAATGGTTCGAATGATTTTCCATCAGAAATACTAAATTTTAATCTTTGGTACTTTATCTAATTGCCGAATCAACCTACAAACAACGCGAGTACATAAAGCAACCCAAATGCATGTCGCGACGAGCTCGTTGGCACGGAATCTTCCACTTTATAATCATGTAACGTTTCCCATATGCAATCTCATTGAAATTACTCAGTCGCTCCGTCCAGTGGCGTGTCTATGATCTATAAGCCACGACTAGTGATGCAACAAGCTATACAGGAAGTATGTCTGCGATACGAAAATGCGACTTCCCCGATAAAAGTGAACCGCTTGCTCTTTTCACTGTAGGAGCAATTCCGCACATTAAAAAGGAACCGAGAAAAATCACTGTTCTTATATGTACTGATTACGTACCATATATATATATATGCCTGTCTCGTTGAATACACACCGTCGTGAAGATGTGATGCTATCGTTTGTGCAATTTCACTTTTACTACAATTGGATAGCATTCGAATCTGATACTCCTATTTTTTTTTGCGATAGCAAATCATTAATCTGTGTCACCGACATACATATATTGCATGACTTTTCATCGAGTGCTTCAATTTATATCATGAGCTCTAAAGATTTTGAATAATATAAAACACATACAAAAACAGTGTGTCAAAATAAAATATGAATTTTGCATGATAATTCTAGCGCAGGGTTTAGCCTGTAATATTGCGAGCATTTATTTTACTAAATAACTAAAACAATGTAGATGTAAACGAAATGTAAATCATACATGTAATAATGGCTATACTACAAATAAAAATATTACAACGAACAACGAAGAGAAATAACGTGAAGCTGTAAAAAATAAATCTCTGTTTAGCTCTATAGATAACGGTGTCACGAGCTCAAGGCCCAGTCGAACTAAGACAAGGAATAAGGAAAGCGATGCTGAACAGAATTTAAAAAATACACTTAATGCGGAATACGGAACTTTTTCTAAACAACGACATCGCGAATGAATGTGAAAGGATTTCCTTTTGAAAATCGTAAGGCTTTTATTTTACGATTCATTTTTTATGATACAATTTTTATAGTTGAATTTGATCACCATAATTTTTATCTAATTGCCGAATTCATCGTGTTGAATCCCAGATAACATCGACGATCGCAGTTACGTAGTAGCAATTGTATTGTTTTCTAGAACTTTGATACTAAATGGCTTACGACCAGGAATCGTCCTGAATACGTACCGGTATGAGTGATAATGTCCAGTAAAGTAGTAAAAATATCATTGCCGGCACGTTCCGCTGTAATGGCCTAGAAGGTTGCCGGTACGTTGCCGCATTTGAACTTCGAAAATGTGCCAGATACGTAGCTGGAACGATCTAATTACATATTAAAATGTAGTTAATAAATAAACTTTTTTTTCTCAATAAACCCGCGTATACAGACAATTGTTAACGTTTAACTTCTTCGTATTTCTTTCTGTAATACATAGATTAATCATACATCTTATAATACAAGATATTTTTATTATTTGAGTGGATAATGTCGTTTTTTCCGATGCGTACCCGGGGCGATTCCCAACCGTATTCCCTTTGGTACTAAAGTTCCAGAAAACAAGTTGCCGATACCTAGTTGTTACGGTAGATATTATCTGAGGTACGACAATGAAACGTTATTTTTATATAAACAATAAAAAAATAATAATTTTGTATAGTTTTTTAAATTAATTTATACATACACATTTTTTATTTTAACTTGTTTGTTTGACATTTGTATTAGTTTGTTGTAATAGAAAATTCGCTTATCTACTAATCATTAAAATTTATAAATTTCAGAATTTTAATAAAATTTAAAATTTTTTAAATGTAGAGATCGACTTATTTCAATAGATATCCCTTCTGATAATTCTAGACCTTTGTAATCTTACAAATTAAAGTTTATTATCATTTGATACCTACATGGAAACGATTATGATACATTTAAAAGTAGGGTAAAGTATCACTAATAATCGACCATTTATTTTACCTTATATAAATAAGAAGTAAGACCACGAATCATAAAACTAAAATTATTCTATGAATTCTTAGTACCCAAGCTTTCGAGAGACATATGATATAAAAAGAAAATATAAATCGATATGGATTATTGTAATAAAAGCAGTGTAAATCAATTCCAACTTGATTGTGTAGTGCAATAGTTTCAGGAAATAAAAATGTTGAAAATGATTCATTTTTATATTTTTATTTGCCATCATGATCGTAGGGAACGAAGACTAATGCGTACGGGTAGTGTTCCACATAAACAGAGTTATTGAAGTTACAATAACAATAATAATCTTCTAACAACAACATTTCGAAGTTAAGATGGTTATAAGTAATTGAAAACAGAAATTCACTTTTGTTGGAGGATCATTTTTTAATTTTTTTAAAAGCTGCTAGCTGCAACAAATATAAGCCAGGATTGATTCAAAGTTTTATTAAAATAATCTATCGATGCAGAAAAGTCTAGCCATGTTTGCATTAGTTTGTATATCGATGGGAGTGTACAGAGTGCCCTCAATTAATAAAATATCTAATTTTCATTAATATTATAAAAATATCCGATTTAAAACTTTATTATAAATTTTGACTTTCATAAAAAATTATGTTTTAGTTTAAATTATACTTGGTCGATTAGTAGTGTAAACTCCAGTCGACTATAGCAATATATATATATATATATTTTTCAAACATTAATTAATTTTTCCTATGCCGTATAGACGAATTAAAAATAAATAAATGTTATCTATAAGATAAAATATATTATTATGAGTTTCTATATTCCTTTTTTTAAATGAATTATGACATACTTTACATTTGTTTAAATAGGAAATGAATTTTATGAAACCGACTACATAAATCCTTTACCCTATAGCAATAGATATAGTAACAATTATCATTTAATTTTCCATGATCGGTTATCTAAAGAATCTCAAAATCGAATATATCTATATATTTATTTATTTTTAAATAAAAATAGTATCTGTTATCACTATATTTTTAATAATCTTCTATTATCATCAATAATTAAACAAAATAGCCTTGGTAATAATAGTTGCAGAAGCACAAAAATTTAAGCAAGTACGCCGCGTGCTTATAACCCAATCATAGCACGGCCAGCACACACAGTGTTGTTCTATGAATGTATGTACATACATTGTGCATATATACAACATACAATTCATTAATACAAACATTATACACATACATCAATTGGTAGTAATCGTACTATCGCAGTATTCACAGTGCCCAACCGACGCAGTCCACGTCTTAAGATTTTACAATCTAGCAAAGAAATACTAATAATGGGATCAATAATAGAATATTTCGAGAACATTCCTTTACATATGGTTTGTAAAAAGTATACATTTTTTATGCGATTGTGATTAAATATTTTTGAGTTTAAACGTTCACAATTTTTTAAGGTTATGTCTTATCATATGTCAACAAACTTTGATGAAAATTTGTTTTAAATTATATGATACAATGCACAAGTGTTTCAAAATATTCTCTTATAGATGAACTAATTACAATTATTTATTTATAGGATTATAATGGTCAAGCCAGAGCAGAAAGGCTATCAAGAATTATCATCACACTGTTTGGAGTAAGTACAAAACAAACATATTTTTTGTTTGCACGGCACACAGGTAAACTTATTAATTTCTTTAATTTACATAGGTTGTTGGATTTGTTTGGGGCTACATAATTCAACAATTTTCACAAACTATGTACATTCTTGGTGCTGGTTTTGTATTGGCAGCTATCATCACTGTTCCTCCATGGCCCATGTACAGACGTAATCCATTGGACTGGCAGAAACCACAGACAGAAGCGAATCAAAATACTAAAACCAAAAAAAAGAAATAATTTAACATCAATCTTGAACTATTTCAATAAAGAGAATGTGTATTATAAGGGTGGAGTGTTTACGCGAGTGTGGAGTTGTCGTACAGTTTTCCAATTGAATGATATTTCCAGAGAGAAACTTGCATTTATCTTTTATATATTCAATAGAGAGAAAAAATTTGACAAATATTGTTATTAGCAGTATAATTTGTTATTGTCACTATTAAGTACATCTATTGTTAGTAAAGTTTCATTAATGCACAAATTAATTTTGTATTTTTCATCAAAAGATAAAATGCATAAAGAATGATCGATGTTCGATAGCAAATAAACGTACATTTAAATTTTCCAATTCAGTAGATATTTCATACAATAAAACAAAATTTTACATTATTACTAGTAACTTGGTTTTAAATTGATGACATAGTAGTGTTTATGGAAAGGTAAAACGACATTAGATACAATTGTAATGAATGTGAATTATCAGTAATCAGATTGTTTTTATTAACTGTTTAGCAATTATTGGACATAGTACAACAGCATTTACATGCTCGCTTTCTTTCATTGCGCACGTTGTTCATTTTAATTATTTTCTTACAGAAAGTATGTGGATCCGTCTCGCAAACATTGTATATGGCTGTACTTTCACAGCGCCTTTCCCCACGTATGTAATTTTTTTCCTCCTTTCAATCTCGGAAGGTCATTGCGCAATGCGAACGTATGTCTCGTTGAAGACGCTCTTCTTATTTTTTTCCGCATGTAATCGTGAATACATAACAGGTTTATGAGGATTAAATAATGTTTCGGGTACCCAAACATCCGAAATTTGAACTGACTTCGTTCCTTGGAAGAAATTACAATATATTATAATGATTTCTTTTAAAGACACTTTTTACTTTTATGTAACTAAAGAATATTTGGGGTAGAAAATTGTAATTATGGCCAATAAAAATTGTGATTGAACAAATCGATCGAATGCGTATTTTTCAATTTTGTTTTTATTAACAATCTATTGTTATAAATATTCAAAATCTAGCTATAAAAGGGATTAATAGTTCACTGCAACATGTAGCACTGTTTTACCACATTGCCTGCCGTAAATTGTTAATTATATTCACATATTTGGAAAACTGATTTAAATGAATTTTAAATTTACTCTTTTGTATAATTAAGAGCCGAACGAATTGAAAATTAAAGTAAATTAGTTAAAAATAAAAAATACATCGAAGTCTTTATATGGTTTTGACTTAATATTTGAAAATATTTGCACAGGAACATACGTTAGAAAATCGATTATATTAAACAGATTCGACAGTAAAGCTATATATAATTAAAATTTCATAAGCCTCTTCTAACAAAATCATTTAAATGACAGCAATATATGTCATATAATAGACATTCAAGAATGAATTTGTAAAACTAGCAGGTATATTGGAAGCGAGCTTTAGCATTCTTTCTTTAATAGACCATGCTCTTTTTTAATTGAAAGGGGGCGTCGCGTAACCGGTTAACTTTCTGACACAATAATAAAACGGGAATTGTCGGTTACACCTCGCAGTGACAAAGTTGATGAGGTCCATAATTATCTAGGTCAAGTTACCAAATTTTGACGTTGTTCCGTACATGACCCAGCGGTAAATAATTCGAATGTAAAGAAAGTTTTTGTATACGTATATAGGATAGGAAGCGAGGATACGAATGCACGCTCGGTTTCCTCTTTGCAAAACACACGCCCGCGCGTTACGAAACACTTTCTCCCTTTATGATCGATTTACATTTGCGGCGCGGCAAGGATCGGCCGTTAGCCTTATCCTCCGTCTCTGTTTTTGTCTATAAAGGATCGATAACGTGCGGCAAAGCAAGCGCGAGACTATGCAAGTGCAGCGCAATGTAAACGATATTCCGCAGCCAAGTCCATGGCCGCGATTGGCTTACGTAGGAGAGTAGCGCTTTGCGACAACCTGTAACCGACTATTTTAGCGTCGCCGCGGCGCTGTTTTGCCTTTGCCACGTGGAAATTCATTCCCCAACCTGTTATTTTCCGATCGAGCGAAGCGTATCCTACTCCATTTGATATCCTTTCACAGTCAGTTAGTGTGCGGCTAATGTTAAATTCAATTCGATATGAAATTTACTTCCTATAATACTCACAGCTAAAAGCAAATTGATGTAAGACTCGATCTGTCATTTCATTTAATAAGCATATACTTTACATTTGTCGGAATAAATTCCGTTAGAATAGCTGTTTTTATTTACTTATTAATGATGGTTGCTACTCAGAGTCGAAATCAAGCACAATGATTATTCATCAAAAATTATAAACGACTACGACAAACAAATCGAAAATGACATTAAAGACATTTCGCAAAAGTTAATTTTATAATATGATATAATTAGAGCTACGTTGTGAAACTTCGCAATTATAAAATTTTTATAATTTAGGGTAGTTTGCACCACTATCGCAGGTTTTTGGCCACAGATAATGAAAGTTGCCTCATATTATGCAATAATTATATGTGAAACTTATAATGACGCGAAATATAAAAATACAGTACGCGTGCATCCGCTCGAGTGATATTCTGTTGTAATGTAGGATTTTCCACGCAGCTAGTTAAAGTATATCACGTACGCTACTTCGATTTTGACATATGGCATAATTTGGCTATTCAGAGAGAAATCTCTTAACTATAAAACAGTAATTATATACACTGCAAATATTTTAAATAGCAAAGTTAGAGTTAGCTTCTCTTTACGTATACCCATGTCTATCACGGCAAGTACCTTCCGGTATGCTTTTACATTGCAGACTAGAAGGATTTGCTCGAAGCAGCACTTAATTAATCTCTGACTAAACGAAACGACTTTTTGATCTAGCAATTATAAGGATTTTCCGAAAAAGGAAGGCAATTTCACGCTTACGAAATGCCTAATTAATTCCAATGAAAGAAAAAAAACAAATGCATTATTATGCTCTAGTTTTCACCGTGCGGACGCGCGGATCGTTTTGGTATATTTTATATCGTTCAAATAAGTAGTCTTGAGTTCCGGTGAAACGATAATCTCGTGGCGGAAGATATCGCAGCAGCGGCAGTGTCGCGAGCGAGGCAGTGAAATTTTGTAACGTGAGAGAGAGAGAGAGAGAGAAAGAGAGAATTGAAACCGCACGTAACGCAGCTGCAAAAATATAGTCCATGTTGCCGAACTATGTTTTCTAAAAAACGCTCGTTTTGAATATAGATATCTTTGCGAAATAAAATAACATTTCCACTTAATGTAGCTTCTTATCATTTGAGTCTGTTTTCAACTCTACAACTTTGCGATCGCTCTAACACATTTCAGTAGTTCGTTTTTATCACGTCGATCGCGGGAAATTTCACTTCCTTGTGCTAAACTGCCGATCATATTAATTCACTTTGAGTTTCAACATCTGAATTATACGTGTGGCGCTCAGATAATAAAAACCGTTACATTTCTCGTTGCTTATCCTTTCCGAATATAGAGCTATAAGAATAAAAGGATGCTTCGTAAATGTGCACAGTAAATTACAGTTTTTCAATCATTTTTTCATTTTTCTTGTTGTATTATGCAAAGATAACAGTGTAGAAACTTTTACAAAGTAACTAAAACTAATATTACAAATAAAATTCAAATAGGTTTACGAATGAGGATGTTAAAGTTTATGTTCGAATAAATGAATGCTATAAATGCAACATTTTGTATTAATGTATGTAAATTTGTAAACATTTTAAACAAAGCAAGTGCTTGTCAGTATATACAAATAAGTGACAATAAGAAATTTCATTCAATATTATTTCCTTATACAGATTTCATGTGAATATAGATGTTATATAACATTGATTGTAATAGTTGACGAGTTAATAAGCAAAATACGTAAATACACCTATCTGCGAAAAAATACATTTACACGAGAAAAGTTGGAATCGGTAAGAGAGTAAAAGAAAGAAAGAGAGAAAGAGAAAGAGAGAATTGGAAATGTTAATACGAGTTCTCAACGAATATAACAGAATAAAGCTGGCAAAACCTGTACCTGACATTATACATTTTAAAATGCTTATAGAGCATCTATTTAATAAGAACAAATTTATATCAGTCCCACGTATAATTGGGTTAAAGACGACTGTAAAAAACCGCTAATGAGTAGAAGACGACCGCATAAATATGTCTATTACTACTAATTAATTGAGCCATGAAAGCTATTTTGTACGGGGTACACGAGATTAACGAACCGTAAATATGACAAACATCTGGAAGCAAAAGACTGGACAGCGTCTGCATGAAGCTAAGAGCGCTTTTACTTTGAAGCTTCTAGTGAATTCGCTGTCCGGAAATTATGGACACTCTCGAGTCACACCTGACTGTGTTTATTCGAGCAAATTTAAATTCACCGCTACGCTGTCTAACGTCAGTTCCATCGTTGCAATACTATTTCACACAAATTACAATTATTGCAACTACGTTATTTTCAACCAAAAGACTTGTGATAAAAGTGCTTGCGATACTTTCAAATAATTTATAGTACGACTACCGGCCCAGCACTAATAGTTTTACGTAAGTAACAGCCCCTCTCCGCGTAAGAGAGAAGCAGAGACAAAATGCGTTTCCCCACTTTCGTCCGTAAGAGAGACAGGCACACTGGGCCCCATGCTGCAACGAGTCCCTCGGCGTGCGCCGCCGCCCCCTGTACGCGTAATACCCCACACTCTGTTCGCTGCGCCTTTATAAAGCTTAAAGCTCCAGTCAGCGTCAAGTCAGAATCGCCTCGGCATTTGCTAGTAACGTTTGTAACGCAACCAAGCGCTTTTTCGTTAACATGTACTCTTACACCCTAGCTGTGAGTACTACTTTCTATTTCACTTTTTTTTCAATTTTTTATTTTGTGCTTGATAAAGTGAAAGTGCAGTGAACTTTTCTTCAATTTTTGCAATCGAGCATGGCTGATCGTATAACGTGTTTCTATGAAAGTTTAATACGGATTCGTGATGATTGAAATCAATTTTCATTTAAGAAAAAAAAACAGCATTTTTTTATATTTTCGTTTGAAACATCTCGCACAATCTGCACGAATATCTGTCACGCTTAAAGAGAAATTAAACCAAAAAGTTGATAACTACATTTCTATTTCTAGTGCGGCCGACGGTACATTATTTACATGCGTTTTTCTTCAGTAGACATAATACATTTTATTTTGGAGTAAATTCTTCAAGTTCGCGCTTTCCGTATCATAAGAATAACAAGAATAATTTTTTACAATGGCTGCTGAATTAAAAAACCCAATTTTTTTAATGAGTCCTAAAATCATTCATTTCAGATAGTTTTATTATTATGAGGAATAAAAAAAGGTATCAAAAAGTGACTCTCTTAAATAATAATAAATATGCATACCTACTGATCTAGCGTACCTCAACAGCGTTCAAAATGAATGTTGTTCTTGAAACAACAATAATAATAAGCATATAAATAAATTTGACAATAAAAAACTATTATCAGTATACGATGTAAATTAAGTTAATCATACGTTTGGTTGTAGCTTCTTGTATTTGGAATTTTGACAGCAGTGATGGCCGCACCAACACCAGGCGGACATCATCAGTGAGTTATTTGTATTTTTAATACAATAGCAATATGAGTTCGATATTCAAACAAATGGGATGATCAATATTTATATTATAATATTTCAATAATGATTTTTTTTTTATTTTTAAATATTCATTTCAACGTTTATTGAACAATTATGCCAAAACATTCACATTAGAATTATAAATAAGGGATGGCTAAAGTAAACTTCATGAACTAACATTTATGTGAAATCTTAACGTTTTAAAAAAATTAATTTTTTATTTTCGAAGGTTACAAAAAAAAACTCTAAATATATCAATGTACAAATTCAAATAGGTACTATTTTTTATGACTATGCATATTATTTATTTAATGCTTTCTTTTTCATTTAAAAAACCTTGTCTAATTCTAATTAGAAATTCAAGTTTTTTTCTTTCCGTATTTTTTCAAGTAAGCAGAGCATTAACATTTACGTAATATATTACTAAACGAAGCTGACAAACGGGAATCTTTAACTTCTTTGCATGCACTCAGAAACCGTGTAAACTAGTTTCATAAAAGAAAGTAACAATTCACAATTCTGAAATACGTTCTGTATTACTTTATGTAAACGGCGAAAAAATTACATAACTTTCTTGTTAACTTTCATTGAATCCTCGTGAAATCCTCATAAAAATGAGTTAAAATATATCACATACCACCGGCAAATTGTTCTAGATTTTATAACTGGAAATGATTGATCTTTCAGTGAGCATCACGTCTTCCACGTGCCCTACCACGTGCACACGGTGCATCACACTCACGTTAAGAAGGTAGAGGTGCCAGTACACCACATAGAAAAAGTTGAAGTACCAGTGCACCACTACGAGAAGGTTCACGTGCCCGTCCCATACCCAGTCCACGTCCCTGTTCATGTTCCCGTTCATCATGAGAAACATCATCACGAACATCGTCACGAAGAAGAGTGGTTCGCATGGAATTAATAATGAGACTGAGAATACCTTACTTTGTTGGTATGTGTTGTAAAAAGAAAAAAAAACTTAGTTTACAATACTGTTGTCAAATAATTATTTTAATTACAGAGTTTGCTTAATTACTATCGTTTGAACCCTCAGAAAGATGTTTAAATTCATAGATTTCTTTTTTTGATATATTGTCACAGACAAATGCAACGCACAAGCCAAATTTAGTACATAATAAATGACCGTCATATTTTACGAGTATAAAAAAATAAGCTAAAAGAGTGATCAAAATACGTAGATTCTGAAAACATCAGTGAAACTGCGCAATGTATATCATTTTGTACATATGATCTTTTATATACTTTTAGGCGAAGTTTACGTTTTATATTTTAATAAAAACTTTTTTATTTACACTGGCTTTTCAACTTATTTTCATATCCTTTTGATTTCTTAAATAATTCGTTTTATCTGTAATAACTTTTTTTTGCATAATTTTTTTTTCGAATAACATTTATTGAATAGAAAAAAAATTTGTTGCTTTAATGAATATTTCATTTAATTGTTGGAATTATAATTGTAATATGTAAAGTAGATAAACATGACCCTCGAACAAAACAGGCACATCAAGAAACTATCCATACAATATAATACAATTTCATGCCAGTCGGTTATCAAAACATCCAAACATGACTAATAAGCATAACAATTAATTTAAGTTAGGAATAATTCATATATTATTTTGAGCATTCTATTAGACATGACTACTTCCCTAATTTTTTTTAATTTGCGGAAGAGCAATGGTAGCTCTTCTGGCAAGCATATTGAAACGCTTGTGTTGTTCTTCAATCATTACGGTACGCTGCATTCTCTCGGTGGCAATTTGCTCGATTTTCGCGTATAAATCGCTATAAACTGTAATAAACTTGCGAAAGTCTTTCCGGTCGAGACGATAAACTTCACAAACTTCAACAGCAACTATGCTGGCTACTCGACGCTGATCCTGCACCAGTAGCGCCACTTCACCAAAGTGTGCACCGTCTTCCAAATGACATACCTATATACATTTAAAAAAAAATCATTGTATGGATCTTATATTGAAATATTCAATTACAAAATATCGAAGAAAATTCGAAGAAAATTCAACATCGATAAGTGAAATCGAATACAAAAAGTGGAATATCTACGAGTTTTGAATTTACTTCTTTTCCAGTAGGTGTGAGAACCACAACTGTTCCACTAGATAGGAAAAACATACAATCTCCTTGAGTTCCCGCTCTTATAATCATGTCTCTTTCTAAATACAACTCTGGCTTCAAATTAGTAACGATTTGGGTTAAAACGTTTTTCGGCAGCTCTTGGAAAATTTCGACGTTCTCGACGAGACGCCGACAAGCGTGTAAAGTAACTTCTTCTTTCAACGCATCTTGGTTTCAATTTTCATGCCTCGTTACAATGAGTGTAGCAAACGAAAGCGTAATATAATAATTTCGTACGAACCTGATAAATTGATCAAAATTTTTTTCTCGCGAAAATAACTATTTCGGAAGCGATAGTGGTAATAAGCCCAAAGTCTTTGCTTCATGTACGCAGGAAGCTGCTTTTGCCGAGCGTAAGCTGATAGCTGATTGACAATTTGCTCGTACTTGGACTCGGAAGATTTCCTGTCGGCTACAATCTGCATCAACATTACTACCAAAAGAAACGCATCACAGTAATGTTGAATTGAATCACAACTCAACACAATTCATCTTACTTGTGATATAACTTTCGAACAATCTTCCAAGAATCATTAAGATTGTGCAAATTGTAATGTGGCCCTCGCTTCGCGGTTCTATTCCGCCATAGCCACTTGCTGTGAAATTTTCAAGCACGATAAAAAGAGCTTGCCGGTATCTTTGAGCAATTCCTTTAATTTCGTCTGTAGCCAACCAACTATCTTCGCTTTGCTAAGTGGGGTGTAGTTGAAAATATCAGTACACAATATTTCGTTAGAGTGTAGCTTTTTTATCGTTCACAAATTTAGGAACATCACCCACATCAACGCTTTCGTGCTGAGCGTACATCATGATTAAAGGAGTAACGTTGCAAAAACATGCAAACCAGTGAACTATGTACACGTATAACAACAACGTTAAGAGCATTTGACAAGAAACATTCTCGTTACCTACATGCTGCAGAAGCAATAGAAATTTATTACGTTCAATAAAGTGACTACCAGTAAAAAATTTGCCAATTACCAAAAATATTTGTCGAAGATAAGATTTAAATGTAAAATAGCGAGTTAGTTTCAGCAGTGGTAAAAGATTGATGAGTGTAGCTATAAGAGAATTTTCAGGTCCTGGAACTTTTCGCCACGATAATGTTAGGCGATCGTAAGGTAGAGACGAAAGTACATCTATTACCATGAAGGTCTTCAAATATCTCCTAAGAAGGTGGTGCTCATTATTGTGGAAATGTTTGTAAATATTTGTATGAAATAATTACTTTAATATTGCTCCTTGATCTAAACTAATACGGTCTTTGCTCTTATTATAAAAACCAGTGACACAGTTGAGTATAATATCAATCCAGCATAAGAAGTATATAAATAAATTCAAATTATCCAAATCGATTGTTTTGTAATCCAATACAACGAAGCAGATTTGAAAAGGTATTGTTAAGAATGCAATGAAATATACAATTGTCATTATCAATTCCCAGTAGAGTCTGTAAATTGAATAAAATTAATATCTAGGCAATGTTTCTAAAACTTGCGCATACCTGATTTTGCTAAATGGGTGAATGGTCCACCAATGTTTTACTGATGCATGCCGTGTCTTTTCCTTATTTACAGCAGCTAGACTGACGAGGTATTGCCGGCATTTCGGATGGGTTTGGTTTATAGTAATCCAGGGTCGAATTAAGTCATACAAACAACAAAAACACTTCGGCTGTGACTCAAACACTTCAAAGGCAGAAGTCTTAGTCAACTCGCAACGGTGAGTAATTGGCATATTTTTCAACAGTTAAATTACTCCATAATATCATAAAAGTCTTTGTAAAAGTTGTATTGGTAAACTATACGTAAATTAACAAGAGCTATATTCACGCTAATTGACAAATCATAAAAAAAAAGAAAAAATGTAGACGTACTATAAATGATGCACATACGTCACCATTATTATAAAATATACGTTATGACATGAAACTGATAAGAGCAAATGCATTTTTTGATAAAAATAGTAGATTGTATTTTACTTTTACATTTTAATTTAGTCATCAAATGGTCAAAAATAAAAATCATAGGAATAGGATGATGGGCGTGTGTGTAATGATCAAGGCACTTCAATGACGTCAATCATAACCTATAACTATGTCTATCTGATTAGCTGTTGTTGTGAACGCGTGGTATGAATGTGTACTTGTCTGTCTTATTATTATCGTATATCATTTATAATACGTATTATGTACTTATAAGTGGATTTAATTCTATCATTAACAATACTCAGCTTCGACCAATACAAATACTACATGTATATTCATGAAAATGCTATGAGAAATCCACGGCCGACATTCAATGTTTCAAATGTAAGCAGGAATCTGTAATTAAAACATTAGCCATTATTATAATATTTAATTGAAGTATTTTAGTTTGAGTTAATTTTTTAGAAGTCGCTGCTTATGTTCACATCAATGTTATAGTTTAAGTGTTTCAATATCAATAGTATCAGATGATGGTGTAATAAGATATCAGGTTACTTTGTACAATTTAAGATGAAATTTTCTTTAAATTAATAATAATGAGCTAATAGAAAAATTACAAAAATTAGTAAGATATATTAAGAATAAAAAACTTATGCTCTACTCGTTGATTTTCAGTATCTTAAATCTTGAATATCAAATCAATTTTCAACAATGTCAACGGATGGTGGTGAGGCAGGTACAAGTACAGGATTGCAACATCAGCGAGTTAGCAAGACAGGACCACAAATAATAACATTCATGCAAGGAATAAATAGTACAATGGAAGACAAAAATAGCGATTATTTGTGCCCTATTTGCTTCGAAACTATTGAAGAAGCACATGTAACAAGGTGTGGACACACATTTTGCTACAGATGTATAACTAGATCATTAGAAACAGTTGGGCGCTGTCCAAAATGCAATATTAATTTAACCCAGCAAGATATTTTTCCCAACTTTTTATTAAATGAACTAATTGCAAAGTACAAAACTCGTGCCAAAAATATAGCCACATTAGATCATAGCTTTGCATCAGATGGTAAAGGCAAAGGATTTCTTTCAACTGATACTTCCATTGACATTTCTGAAAACTTACGAAGTTTTCTGTCATCAGAAAATCCAAATCTCAGCTTATCTGATATTGATTCTCTCTTGGAATTACTTTCTCAGAGAAAACAATTACTTGAGGCAGAAACTTGTGCTGCACAAAATAAACTTCTGTATGAGTTTTTAAGACACCTTTTAACACAAAAAGAAGAACAAAACAATCAATTGCAAAAAGAAGTTGTTGTGATAAAAAGGGATATCCAAGAAGTAGAGAACATTTTAAAAGATTTACAAAAAAAGTGTCCAAAAGTTGAAGATCTTAACAAGTCATCTGATTGTGACTCAGATAATATGCAAGCTATAAGAAAAGAAATGATAAATTTAATCAATGTTATTGGTTCGAGTACAATGAAATCCAGTGAGGAGACAGATCCAGTAAGAATGTCTAATTCTCCTACTAATCAAAACAAGTACAACACAACTAATTTTGCTTTGCCAGTACGACGTCGAAGGATGCATGCACATTTTGAAGATTTTGTTGAGTGTTATTTTAATTCAAGAGCCAAAGAATTACATTTTGGTGGAACTACTTCTGAGTCAGACAGTTCTGGTTTAGACATTTTTCGTGAAGATCTTGTCAAATTTTCACGCTACAATTCGTTAAAACCACTAGCTACATTGAATTATTCTTCTGATATTTTTAATCCCTCTAATATAGTTTCTAGTATTGAATTTGACAAAGATAATGAATTTTTTGCGATTGCAGGTGTTACAAAAAGAATAAAAGTGTTTGACTATAACACTGTCATTCAAGGCATTGTTGATCTTCATTATCCATGTGTTGAAATGACTTCAAGTTCTAAAATATCATGTGTTTCTTGGAATTCTTATCATAAGGGTATTTTGGCTTCATCAGACTATGAAGGTACAGTAACCATTTGGGATGCAATTACAGGACAACGAACAAAAGTATTTCATGAACATGAAAAGAGATGTTGGTCTATTGATTTCAATAATGTTGACACAAGGCTAATAGCTTCTGGTTCTGATGATGCTAGAGTTAAATTATGGTCACTTAACGTGGACCACTCAGTAGCCTCACTTGAAGCTAAAGCTAATGTTTGTTGTGTTAAATTTAATCCTCGCAGCTCGTGTCATTTAGCATTTGGATCAGCTGATCATTGTGTACACTATTATGACTTAAGAAGCATGAAAGAAGCTCTTTGCATATTTAAGGGTCACAAAAAGGCTGTGTCATATGTAAAGTTTGTTAATGAACAAGAAATAGTATCAGCTAGTACTGATTCTCAGCTAAAAATGTGGAATATTAATAATCCTTACTGCTTACGTTCTTTTGTTGGTCATATTAATGAAAAGAATTTTGTAGGCTTAGCTACAGATGGTGATTATGTAGCTTGTGGCTCAGAAAATAATTCATTATATGTTTATTACAAAGGTCTGACAAAGCAATTATTTTCATACAAATTTGATGCTGCTAGAAGTATTTTAGATACACAAGAGAGGCGTGATGAGGAGTTGAATGAATTTGTTTCGGCTGTATGTTGGAGACAGAATTCAAATGTTGTTGTTGCTGCTAATTCGCAGGGTATAATTAAAATACTTGAACTTGCATGAGAGCAAAAAACTATAGAACTAACGAAAATACTTTATGCAATATAAGATATAGAAAAATTATTTTTATAACAATATTAATCGATACAACACTATTACGTTACACAGACTGATTGACTATGTAGTCGTATAAAATCTACTTTAGAATTTTTTGTCTTTGCATTAGATCTTTTAATATTCTCTAAATAATCATATAAACTTGTAAATTTCACAGTTTTTTATTTGATTTTTAGACAAAATAAGTACAAATTACTTTATTGCTTCTTTTCACTTTATGGAGATTAAATAAAAGATCTCTTTTTTAACAGGTGAAATTTATATATTTAAAATTTAGTAATTTCAAGCGCAAAAAGACTTAACAAATGATTTCATTTTTGAAAAAAATTATTTTTAGATAAAATGATACAATTGTAGCATAGGAAAAGTTAAATTTTATCTAAAACTATCAGATAGACTATTCTATATACTCTATTCAAATATGCAGCTTATACAACTTCGGCCTATTAAATATTATGCCACAAAAATGTCATTCTCTTTAGATACAGATAAAAAAATGAAAAGCTGAGACAGCTTTTCCTTTCAGTGATAAACTATAAATACCAAAGTTGTGATGTGCAGGTTCACTATGAAATGGGAAAAGTTCATAACTACATTGTACAAACATGTGAAAAATTATTCTTTTAAATTAATATTAATTAAGTCACTATCACATATATTAATAGTAAATATTACAAATTCACCATAAATCCGTTTAATTAAACTAGGTCAATATACAATTAAAAAGCTATACTATTGAATCAAAAATATTTCAAGTACAATCACATATGTAGGAAAACAAAGAAAAAGAACTTTCTCATTGCGATAATTGTTTTACTATGTGCACTTTTAATTTGTTACAATGATTTTCAAACATTTTTTCTGTAAAATAATGCGTTATCTGTGTTGTAGTGACAATTCTATGCTAAACCTAAATTTTGTATGTTATACTTTTAAAATAATAGGAAGTAAAAATTCCTGTATTACAATATTGTCCTATTAATATAAAAATAACTAATGTAATCATAATATCTTAGCTAGAAGTTAATGATTGTTGAATTTTACTGTCATGTAGATTGTGATTGTCAATCTCAACTTTAAACTGTTAAAATAATATAGAAATCAAATGTAGATGTTGATAAAAATTATATGCACATCTTATAAGATGCGAAAATTACAATAATTAAAACGTTATATTAACGTTTGTCTATAATTTTACAAGGTGAAATAGGCTTCAAATTTTTATTACTTTTTGTAATTCGAGTAAAAAAAAGCTTTCTTCAAATTACAAAATAATAAGAAGCAAACAATGTTTTAAACGTATTTTTATCATATTATTAACGATATATTACTTTCAAGTATTTTTATATTGAGAATCAAGTTTTAATATTGACTTTTAAAAACAACTAAATCGTATTTATAGTATTAAAAAAATGTTCATGTTAGAATGTATGCTGGGAGGACAGATCAATAAAAATCGAAACTAAAATTTGTAGTTATTATTTTCTGTACATGTATTTTAGGCAACTTATCGATTAACTCAGTTATCTCTTCAGTTTTTAAATTTCGATATATTAATTTTAAAATTTAAGAATTTAGGTGAAATTTATACGCATTAATAAAAAAAATATCAATAACAACGTAGTTTTAAACGTTTATGAACAATAAAAATAAAAGATATTTAAAATTTTCATTTGTATGAAAACAACTTCAGGTTTGGTCCTCTATTTACAACACAATATTATTGGAGTAGTAAAATTGACATTTATTTTTTCCTCTAAAAGATCACACAAGTGACAGACCATCATATTAAGAATGTTGATACTTTCTTTTCATAACCCTTATACTTCTCTTAAGAAAGGTAAAATTAATAAATAATGAGGCCTTAAAAAAATATATCATATACCTAAGAATTTTTAACATAAATATAAAAGGCGAGATACTGTATAAAATACGAATTAATGATGAAATTAAATGAATATCAATTAAATTTTTCACAGTAGAATTTAAATTAGTACATAAATTATAATTTTATACAGTTTGTCTAATTATTAAATATTTCATAATAACACTCATAACTTCAACTTAACAAGGCAGCAATATTTATGCATCTAATTGAATAGATAAGAATTAAATAAAAATATTACAAAATAGTAGTTAAATAAATTACTTATAAATCTTGATTTGATTCCTTTTTGTCTTTATATACCCCTATCTGTAATAAAATAAATGAAATTAAAAATAAGAATCACAAACTTAATAAATGAATGAAACAAAATTAAAAAGTATATATAATGTAGAGCTTTCAATATCTCATTAAGGGTTCATTTTTATTTCAATTTTTATTCATGGCATAGTAAATTTTTAATATAAAATTTTTAAATCAAACTGCATTGATTACAGGGATTATAACTCAAATATCTTATTATCTCTTATTGTTAAAGTTAAACTAAAGAGTCAATCAACTATATTACCTTCCGTTTGTTTAGATGAATTTAATTTAATACATAGTCTTTTTAATGACTGCATATTGATTATTAATCAATTTGATACTTAGTTGGTTAATGTGTTCAATTAGTCTTAAATTATAAACAAAGAGACATTTGACATCAAAACTATAGTTGACAGAAATTCATAAAAACATTTTTGTTGATTACATCCCCTAAAACCCATTCCTACACAGCTTCTGATATATTTCGCATTCAAATAAAAGAAAAATTTTTATACTTTATTTTGTTAATAGTCAAAAAATATTGATTGAGTTATGTTTCCTCCTAAGACATAAGTTACAAGATTTCATTAATTTTCATTTCATTAATCTTTATTTTAAAGCCTATAATAAACTGGTGTAATAATAATAAAAACTCAATATCAGTTGTTTTTATTAATTTCTTATTTACAATATTAGCAACGGTGTTACAATAAACAAGAAATATTTTTTATTATTTTAATATAATACATATACAGTAATAATTAATAAATAAAATTTTAAAGAACAAATTGTGTGCAATAATAAAATACTTTTAATACTTTTATATTTTTCAGTATGATTTATATTACAGTTTAGTTTATCTTTTTAATAAAATTTGTGTTATGCGTAATTTAATTCATTCATAAATATTAGTTATTTTACAGCTTTCTGGACATAAACAAATGAAGTATGACATTTTATAGAGAAAATAGTAATATTTAGAAAAAGTAAGCTTTAGATCGAGATTCATAAATTTTTTTAAATTAAGGAAAAACTTTTATTTATAATTGTAAGAAAAATTTGAAACCAACATTACTAAATTGCTTTTTTCATTAGTGCAAAAAGACATAAGATTAGTTTCACTTCTTTGGATTCAGACGCCACTTTCTATAAAAATAAATTTTATCCATTAACTATTTTATTGTAATAGTTACATTAAGAGATAAATTATATGTGTTAAAAGTTGATTAAGGAATCAAAGTATTTTCAATGTTGTTTTGCCCTTTTTTCAACCAGTGCAATAATTAGTATCAAGATTTGTTATAATTTAGGTATCACCAAGCATCTTGGATTAACTTATGATTTCCATGTTTCTCTTTCACTGGAACAGGAACATAAACTTTCTTTACTATGGTACGGGTGTGAATGTGATGGGGTACGTGAATACGGACACGTGTGCTGAAACGATGTGAAAAACATATTAAAACATATTTATCATATCAATTTTCACGTAACGTATGTTACGAATTAAAAATCGCTAATTTAACCTGATATTTCATTACTTACTATTCTTTCTCACCAGGAGTCGGAGCTCCATTTATTATTGATATAATGCAAACAATCACAACCTGTAATTTTTTTAGTTTTATCAATATTTTTCATTGACTCTGAGAGTGAATTTGTTCTTACATTAATTATACTAGCGATGTATAGCGCGCCTTGCGTACTCATCTTTTTTATCTTTTTCATCATTTTTTTATACATTCATTTTTATGCATGACTAGATCAGAAGTTTTATTAGCGAAATTGAAAATTCAATATGCATTGGATATGATATGATGTGAGATATAGCTGACGATATTATTTATTGGTAAATAAATAAACAGTTACGTCGACACTCACGATTTTTAAATGTTATCAATGAAGGTTTAAGTTTTTATCTTACCAAGTTTTGTGTTGACAAATTATCGTTCAAAAGTTTAAAAAACACGAAAAAATTGTATTATAAGTTCTAAAAACAGTAGTTTTCTATAATTATATCCTTCACGATGTAAACATACTTTAGTGTAGAACGTTCAAGGTTGTATAATTAGTTCTTTTCAAAAAAATTTTCTAATATTTTATGTAACTTAATAAAGCTAAAATTAATTTACAATATTTTATCGTAATAATCGTTTTATCGTAATAATAGATTCATAGCTTTTATTACCTACTTTGTTTATTTAAAATTAAATTTTTGCATAGATTAAAGTTCAATCAATATATATATATATATATATGCCTCTGTCAAGGTATTAGTAGGTCATTATTTTGAAGTTAGTTGATTAAATCAATAATTCATATTAAATTTATGCCAACTATACTGATACACTTTTCGAACACGTAATCATCTACGAAAATTTGCAGTAATCTTTCATAAGCTTATACAACGTATATACTATCACAACGGATCACGTGACTATCTTTCAGCTATTCAGATCACGAATAAACTGGTTTTACTTTGTCAGATTCTCTTCTTTATAAGAAGAAGACACAGATATGCACTAAAGATAAAATATAGTTGTGTATGTAAAGATATATCATTGCAGATCCAGTAATGTGATTTTAAAAGCTGAGGTAAATCCAAATATTACAATATTCAAAAACATTATTAGACTTTTTCATCAATATTGTAAAACTTTGACTTTTTTCGTGAAAGACAGAAACTTGACAAACAGCAAAATGTGACTATAAAAAGAAGATAAATAATAATACATTTTATTGTTTATTGCTTATGCTTTTTTATAAAAGACATGGTTTTTTAAGACATCGCAGCAGTGTTATCTCTTTGCACAAGTACAGAATAAAATCTAATAGTTTTCACAAGTATACTAGAAATGACTGATGGTGGTATATTTCGAATTTATAAGTTGAACTTGAAATATTAAAAAAATAATAAATCTTTTATAAAATACTCACTAAGGCAATACTCAAGCGCATGGTGAATGGTATGTCGAGCAGTAAGCCACTGAAGTAAACCAAGTTTTGAAGTTGCTACTGTCAATGCAGTAGCCGCCGTAGCGAACAAGATACTAAAAACACAGCAGCTTCGGCGCGGGTTTATAAACGTAAATATAATCAGCGAGCGGTCTAGCGTATCGCTAATTCTAGAGTGCTTATGGCATTTTCTCCGGAGAACCCCCCGTTAATGCTTCACTCTTGCTGTCCTTCTCGCTCTTTCTTCGCTACAATTAGAATCCGCATATCCGCGTACACGCCGATGCTTCTGTGGGCATCTAGCGGTTTCGAGAGACTGCACGCGATATCGATAATTTCTATTAAAGTGTCATAAAGTCTGAGGTACCGCAATCGTAAAGTTCTAAGAAAACCATCATTTCGACAAACTGTCTTGCTAACTCACTGAAGATGTAGTCACTAAATCACGCAACAGAGCGTAAACTTTCATTCAGAAACGTATATCCACGTATTTCCTACATGCTAAAATACCAAATGTCCGGAAATATCTGTTTGTGTTGTTTGTTAATTATATGTTTTGATCAGGTTTTATTGTGCAGGATTCGCATATCTGCAAAATACTATTTCATCTTATTATTCATGATTTTATACTAACATATTTTTTTAAGCTAGCGTTTTTATTTGATCTAGAGATGTTTTATTTGAAATAACAACAAAAATTAAGCGTGAGTTGCGCTTCATTACAATATTCAGTAGTATGTCTCCAGCTAACTGGCTATTGACTTAGTTAACTGTTATAGTGGTTGTATACAATGCCATTCAAAATTATAAATTAATTAAGATTCAAAATTAGAAGATTATGTCAATACCAACGCTTTTTTTAATTAAATGGAAACAGTTTTTCTGCTTTTTGGAAGATTTAAGTAAAAAAACTTAATGGTTGTTTTAATCAGTAAGTAAAAAATGTTGTTTTTGTTTTTTTTTTACAATTTTAATCACATTTTTGTAGATGATGGAAGCAAGATATTTTAAGCTTTAAAAAGTTATTGCGGAAGTCGAATTGAGAAGTTTATCGATCCTGATTCTTAATTCATTCCGCATGAAAAAGAGAGATCAGTTATAGGCTACTGTTCATAAATGATAAACTATGCAACAAAAGTAAATTAATGTGTGCATAAGTAAACCATTCATAAAAGTAGAAAAATAAAGTCGTCGTACATAATCACGCGGCAATCGGCAATAAACCGTCTGAAGGTAATAAAGTGTTCAAATCGTAAAGGTCGTACGCACCTTTTGGTATTATATGGCAATCAGCAGTATGAAGTGAAATCTACAGTTTTATTTGCTGTGCACGAATCATCCCTTTCACTTTCGACGCCATCATACTTTCCATTTCGCGAGGGGCTCATTACAAAGCAAGTTCGCGTACTTGCTTTTTTCTATTTCTCTCACTCTAAAAAACTCGTCTTCTTCATCCATCACTTCTAAGGTCATTTATCCTAGCAATTTTCTTTTCACGCGCGCGAAATGACTATATATGTACTTGAAAGAGCCACTTCAAAAGCATTTCCTCGTTGCATCCAACGAGGGATACATTACACTGAGATTTCTCTTCTCGAATTCCCTGCGAGATTTTCGGACTTTCTCGTTACGGCATTGAAATTATTGCTCTGAGCGCTAGTATGTGTAATAAAGTCTTTTTTTTTTGCCTTAATGGAGAGCACGAAAGACTTACATAAGACACACATCTTGTCGGGCAATTATCAAGAGCAACGGGTAGGAAACAAGAGTTTGCGAGGAAATAAGGATCGACATCGCTGAGTACAAAAAGATAAAGACGTGATTACAAAAACACGTAAAAAATTACTTTATTGACGCAAAACGCCTGATAACATGACATATTTACACAATAACAATGTAATCGCTATAATACAAGATTGCACATTCGGCAAAATATAAAAAAAAAACATGTACAAAGACGTAGAATAAAACGGACGGTAACAAAGATAATGAGCATTGGATGAGTGAACATTTGGCATCTATAAATAACAGGAATCATCTTCAGCGTGCGTAACTATGATGGGCGAAAGTTCAATTATAGAACTCTCTCACTGTCTCTCTTTCTTTTTCTTTCGTGTAAGTCGAGCGCTCGCCGTAAACATACGTAGCTTGGTTAGAGGAAATTATTTCTTATAGTGATAGCCGTCGAATCCACCTGCTGAGCTGCTGCCACTGCCGCTGCCACTGCCGAATGACGATGAGGAACTGTAGCCACTCGAATGTGAGTCATGACCTCCGCCTATTGAACCGCCGAAACTTGGTGTACCATAGCTGCTCGAGATAGCACTGTGAGCACCTCCGCTTCCGGAACTTGGGACTCCGTAGCTGCTTGAAGGAGCACTGTGGCCACCGCCAAAGCTTGGAGCACCGTAACTACTTGACGGAGAACTGTGACCACCGCTGCTGCCGAAACTTGGGACTCCGTAGCTGCTTGAAGGAGCACTGTGGCCACCGCCAAAGCTTGGCGCACCATAGCTATTCGAAGGGGGGCCGTAACTACTGGATATACTGCCGCCGTGGCTTCCACCGAAGCTACTTCCGTGGCTACTACCACCAAAACTGCCACCGTGACTATTACCACCAAAACTGCCACCGTGGCTTCCACCAAAACTTGGGGTGCCGTAACTGCTGGACAATCCTCCTGAGAAGCTACTACTCGAGGCAGAGCTGGAGCTGTAACTGCCAAGGCCCCCACCATGACCACCCGTCCATCCACCATGCCCGCTGAAAAAATCATGTCGTCAATTTATGCTGATTTCATTTTGATAGATTTGATTGTCTCATTGTCTTTTTTTGTTTGAAAACAATAGTTGATTCTATATTCGACTTGATTTCATTAGATTTATATGTTCGCGTAAATCTTCAGATCAACTGAACTGATTTGATTAGAATCTCCTTTATTCAAAAGGACATTTTTTTAAATTGATTTTATCTCATTTGAAAATTTGTTCGATTTATTGTGCAACAAATATAACAAAAACTATTAAGATAACGCCCATCTAAGTAAAATTCAAGTATATAGATCTCAGTTTATGTTGAATAATCAGTACTTTTCAACATTCATGCCAGTATTGGCTTAATTATTAGTTAGTTAAAAAAATCTAAATTCTTCAACGTACCCGCTACCAAACGAAGACGAGCTACTAGATCCGCTACTAAAACTTGGAGTGCCATAGCTACTCGAAGGAGCACTGTGGCCGCCGCCAAAGCTTGGAGCGCCATAGCTACTCGAAGGAGCACTGTGGCCGCCGCCAAAACTTGGAGCACCGTAGCTACTTGAAGGAGCACTATGGCCACCGCCAAAGCTTGGGGCACCGTAGCTACTTGAAGGAGCACTATGGCCACCGCCAAAGCTTGGGGCACCGTAGCTACTTGAAGGAGCACTATGGCCACCGCCAAAGCTTGGGGCACCGTAGCTACTTGAAGATGGACCATAACTACTAGATATTCCACCTCCGTGGCTTCCACCAAAACTACTTCCGTGGCTGCTTCCTCCGAAATTACTTCCGTGGCTGCTTCCGCCAAAACTGCCTCCGTGGCTTCCACCAAAACTTGGGGTACCGTAACTACTGGATATTCCTCCTCCATGACTTCCGCCAAAACTACTTCCGCTGGAGCCATGGTGGTCGTCATAACTACCACTAAAACTCGAGGAGCTAGCGAAACCAACGGCGCTACTTCCACCGCTGCTGTATACTCCAATGTCGTCATGACCTTCTGAAATGGTCATTAGATTAGTTTTGAATGTAAAATTATGTTTTTATAATATTTTTAATTCAGAATTTTTTACTGTTTTTTAGGTAATTATTAATTAATTTTAAAAAAGGATTTTACAATCCATTTTCTTTTTTTCAAATATCTCAAAACTTAAAAGAATGTTATTAAATCCTTTTTGACATAACAAGTATGTTAAACTCTATTTTGGTTAATTTCTTTTACATGGGTTTCTCATTAATATATAATTTCCGCAACTACATAGATAATTCAATAATTTTACATTTGTGATGCTTTCTATGAAAGTAATTGTGCAAGTTAATTAATAATCAACTTCTTTAGCAATATTTTTAATCGTCATTCAACAATTGGCTAATATATATGTCAATGTGAAATACTTAATGGCTAGTCATAAGTGTTATTAAAGAATTTTCTCCCATCCGATCAGATAATGTTGATAGATCTGATTGTCTGAATTTAAATTGTCTCTGAGTGCAATAGAGACAGTACATTCATACTATTCTGACTAATGTGACCGTGCGTTATAAATCTCTGAAGTTATCGTAAAACTCTTTTTTATACTAACCGTCATAACCTCCGCCGAAATCCTGTCCGCCTCCATGACTACCTGTGAAACTGTCTCCGCTAGAATAGCCTCCACCGCTAGAGTATCCGCCACCTCCACCGTGGTGGTCATCATGGTGATGTTCTTCAGGAAGGTGAATTTTTATGTGTACACTGTGTATTAACAATAATTGTTATGTTTTGATCATATTACCAAATATTAAGCGTACTACAATAGAAGTTGTGAAAGTTCTTTTTATATTTAGTTTTATTTTTAATAGAAGCTATGAAAGTTCTTTTCCAGATAGTCGAAATGATACTGGTCGGAATCACCTTAAAACTCTTCTAGAATTGTCAAATAAATTAAATCATTATTGCATTTAACTTCCTAATACAAAAGATTCGAGAAAGTTAATCCATGCTATTTTCTACTTTTACTGGTGCTCGTCACATTCTCACACCAAGTCTATTTCAGTGCAGAATTTGCTCTGAGACAATGAGCTAGATTCAGCGAGACCTTTAAACTCGGACTGTAGTTGCACAGCTATACGATTTCTCTTGTTTTAAATTAATAAAGCCCAAACAATAATTCTAATTGCATTTATTTCATACACACAACCTTATCTTTAAAGATCAGACAATGACAAGAAACAACCCGTCAGACATGAACAATTAAGAATTAGTAGGTTTTGCTTTATCTACAAATCACTAAATTAATTTCATATAAATTAATTTTCATTAATATTTTAAATTCAACTTAAAGGTAGCTTTCTGTTTTTCTGTTATTTTTATTATATTATATAGAGAATAGAATTTACATCTTTTTTCTCATAAGAACCAAGAAAATTTTACTTATTTCAAAATTGTATTGGAAAAATTATCTAGAAGATTAATTGAACCTACAATTGATAAAATATACTAAGTTATTATACTATTATATAATGCTAAACCTTGCATACTCAGGAATAATGGTTACGGTCCCAGTCTTATATTAGTATGAGTAATAAATTTAACATCGTGTTTTTTTTCTTGCCTTGTTGAAAACACCCGTGAACATTCATCACACAACGGGTTTAATATTCTGATAGTTCGTTTCCGTTTCCCGCATACTTCTTAATAATAATGTACAAAAGATAAAAATATATGTACTCCTATTGATAATAATAATAATAATTATTATTACTATATTAATGATCCACTCGATCCTATTACACGGTGCGGAAATTTGGGCCGACTCTCTTGAAACCAAGAAATACTGGAAATGGTTACTGAATGTTCAGAGACAGGAGGTACTGCGGATTGCGTGCGCGTATCCAATGATCTCGTAAGAGACTGTCTTGGTTATCGCGCGTGTAATCCCCGTAGACCTTCTAGCCAAAGAGCGTAAAAGGATCTATAAGAAACGCATGGACATGGGACGATCAGACGCTGCAGAAATTGAAAGGGAAGAAACTGACGGAATAGGAAGAACGCTGGACAAAAGACTCCACTGGAAAATGATAGGCTCGACGACTTATAGACGCCCTAAGGCCTTGGCTGAAGAGGGCGTTTGGAGAGGCGAATTAATACCTCACTTAGTTTCTTTTCGGTCATGGATACTTCAGGAGCTATTTGATGAAAACGAACAAATTAATTGAAGAAGGTATAACAATGACGACTAAACATGTTCTTCGGGTGCCCACGCTGAACTATGGACAGACTATAGGTAGAAGCATGACCGGATGCATGCAGTATTGCGCCTGATTCTATTGAGACAATGATGCAAAGCAAGACTAACTAGGACACAGTGGCAGGCTTTGTCAAGGCTGTTTTCAGGGGTAAGAAAGAAGAAGGATGTTTGAATGATTGAGTAAACGTGTGAATGAATACAGAAGAGCGGATGGTAGGACGGATGATCAGACAACACGTACAACATGGATGTACCCTTCAACGGAGAAGTAATGCTAATGCGGTGCCACGTTGATGAAGAGGACAAAAGTGGAAGTTATAAATCCGAGATTCTGTAGTCGAAATTTCGATTTTGGAATTACGGCGTCGAGGGTTTAGTCGGCAAGTCTGAATCACGATGTTTCAGTGGCAGACCGCAATTTAAGCTGACGCTGAAAGAAGTCCAATACAACGTCCAATGAGGATTTGCCATTTGTTACCACCATAAAAAAATAATAATATTTTATTCTATTCACTTTCTCTTCCGACCAAAATTTATGACAACAATATTAATTTCAGTATCACAGGTGATTATAAAATTATTGATATATGTACTGATAATTTCAAAACATAATCTTTTACTCGTTTATTCTCAAACGATTTATTAACTGGATATTTCCATGCTAATTATTATCCATATCAACTATCCGTAAATTGAGTTTACAACTAAAATATAAGTATCACATTCCTAGATATATAATGTAAATTTTTCAGTATACAAACATTCAAAATTTCGCGCTCTTTTTTAGTCAACCAATTACAACGCTTGATGTCGGCGATTTATAATTTTTTTAAGATTTTTAATAAAATGTTTTTTCAACTCCAAGGGAACTTGACCATATTAATTATGCTCCAAACCATATTAATTATGATAACAATCCATTCAAGACGTAAATTACAAATAGTGATAATTAATTATGTTGTAAAACTTATAATTTTTAATTTTGTCACCTATAAAATGATTCTTGCGTACCTCAAATTCAAACACGGCTGTAAAATTTTAAGTATATATTCTATAGACGATACACAAAAATACTGCTTTTTCTGGTTTTTGTATTCTAATTCTGTATGAAAATATAAAAAACAGATTTTAAGTGAGAAATATAACAAACAAAATGATTTACGATAAATTGGAAAAAAGAGTTTCTAGTATACTTCTTCGAGAATATTTACAACAAATTTCTACACTGCATCTTCACAAGAGTTGCAGGAGAAAGAATATTATCTTCCGTTTTCACATATTATAATTTTATGGACGGCTCCAGCGAAAAAATATAGTAATAGAATCGTAAAATATTAAATGAAAATCATGTATGATTGAGTGCATCGGAAATACAATTTACTAAATAATATAGCTGCTCAATCAATCCTACGCGCACTATTAAAAATCCGTATTATCGTGCCTATTACTTTCTGAGTCTCCCGTAATTCAATCATAGAACTTGATTAGGGATACAAAACTTTCGTTTTTCTCTAGAAAAGTTCGACGGTGAAATGGTTATGAGTGGTGTTCTGAAAAGTACCGTCAATTTTATGGTTACTCATACTTAATTCTCTTTTTTCAAATAAGCTTCCAAATCATTAGTATGTTTCTAAGGAATTATGCATTACCGATGAAAGTTTGACGGAAAGCTTGAATAATAGTAATACTAGATTGTCGGATATCGTGTCCTTCATGTGGAAAAAATATTGTACCGAAAATGAAATAACATGCTAGCCGAATATTTATTCTACGTAGATCCAATAGTATAATCAATGAAATTTTTAATTTGAATTGCTAAAATGAAATTGATAATTAAAAAATTTATATACTCACTGTTCTTTGCCAAAAGTAGCAAACGCTGTCGTGAAGAGCGCGAAGCAGATTGCGAAAGTAATCTGTAAGAAAGAGAAAATATTAATAAGCTATAGTGATCGAAAATACCGTGATCACTTGATTTTTGTTTAATGGTAATATTTCATCGTTTTTCGGATACTGTTATTTTGAAGAAAATTCTATGGTTGGATTTCGAGCTTTTTATAAAAAGCGATCTTACACTTTCATTTTATTCCATTTCAAAACTGACTTGAAATTTTATTTATAAACGTTTAGAACAAACAAATCACTCGTAAGCTAGTATATCGCGGCGTACAATTGGAAAAAAATAATGAGAAAAATCACAATCGAGCCAAACAATCGAAGAAAAAAGCAAATTAGTGTCTCCTTACAGCGAGTCGAGCTGCCATGGCTTCTCGCTCGTTACTGCCGGTCTAACAAAAAATGAACTTGAAAGTCGTATCGTTGGGATGTTCTGAGTTCGAAGCTTTAGCGCACACTGTCATATAGATGCTTGGGACCAGTCGGCTTTATAAGCGACGGCAGCGGTAGAGTTGAACGAGAGCGAGAGTACTGTTGACGCGGTGTATACCGAGGTAAGCGCATAAGTGGAGGGGAGTTGAATCCCGACCATGACCCAGAGATTTCGCAGTTGAGTCGCGCGGGAGAAACAACCACCCACCACTATCTCGCCAGACAGACAGAGAGACAGACAGACGGACGGACGACGACGCACACTCACGACTTCTTACACTCTTTTGATATTCTCGTCTGACTTGATTTCGGCTTGATATCACGTGCTGACAGTTTAATCATGAAACGGCTCAATTGACAATTGTGCGGACATTTACGCGTCTGTTAATGCTTTAGCAAATGAAATTTTATGTGGAAACAATTTGTCGGAGTTTATAGACTGTTTTTATTGATAAATTTTGTAACATTCAATGCATTTATAAAACTTAATTTGATCTTTACTAAAAATAATCTTAACAGTTACGGACACTAAAATAACAAGCATTTGGTACAAATCTGTAATTTTAATATTTGCTATTTTTCTATTACTTAATCGTCAGGGTAGGATAAAAATAATTTTCCCACATATTCTATTTTTTGACTATGATCTGTTATTCATGATCTGTTTCAAACTTATAATGCTTATAATAATAACTATATTCTTCTTGATATGAAAGTTTTTTTTTATTCTTGACGAACTGACATAGTTTCAGCGAAATCCATAGTAATTTTTGTTGTAAAGAGTTACATTTGCAATCATTTTTACTAGCTGTGGGTAATGTGATGCTAATAATTCGCAAATACATAACTAACTTTTCCACACACATCTAAATTTACTAGTGTTGATGCACAAATGTCAGCAAACTGACTAAACTTATAATGAATTTTTTTAATAACGGCAAGAAATGAAATTATCGCTTATTGAAACGGATTATCCCGACATAAAGTCATAAAGTACGGAAGTAATCAAGCCTCGTGAACGTCATCGTTGGGCAGTACAACAAAGACGTATTTTCATATTAACGTGCAATTTATAACAATTAGCAAGCTAAATTTGACTATAATTAGAAGGCTTACGAATTTGATGTCTATCCAAGCGTAAACTCGGTTGCTGATAGTGTCAATCAGCCAGTTGAAAGTCGCCTAATACACCAATTTCTCCAGCAATCAAAATTAAACAAATCGGAAAAGCGCATATTAATTTCCTATAGCCTGGGTATTTGCGCGCATCCGGCCTTTCGTCTCACTCTATAGCCTTCACCTTTGATAGGAGACAGGCGCATAGTGAAATTGACGAGATATGGGCGGAGGGAATATCCTCGAGGTGACAGGCATTCGTGTTGGCTGTTGTTGCCATCACGGGTCTCTCCCGAGCCTCTTATAGACACTCTTATTTTTTTACCAGAAATAAAACGTCTTTTTAAATTGATCCTCTCATTTTTTTGCACGCGTTTGTAGTTTAACGTGACTAAAAGGGAAACGGATTGGATAATATCGCTAACGACTAGATGAAATCTTGACTCTGCCTACGAGAAAGTTTTTCGCACGTACGGCTGTAAGTATGCAATTTATATTTACATATCTAGATTATTCGTCCAAGCTGACGAAATTGTTAATTCGAAACTTAGGAAAAAAGTTCATTCGCTTTATTCTTTCTAATTTAGGTTGAAAAGTCAATCTCGTTACTGTAATATAAAAAATGATTGACGAGTCGTTTGTTAAAAAAATGGCATTCGTTATTTTTAAAAGCATAGTTCTGAAAGAATATTTTAAAATTACCGATAAGATTTTATCTAATTAATGATTGTAAAAATAATGACTTTCAGATCTTGTGGAATAAAAGTATTAATGCGGATGGATGTGAATTTTTCGGTGTGATACTTAGCATTACAAATAAATACTTGTTCCGGTATCATCGCATCCGCAGGCAGGGAAGTTTCCCATTCGCACTAGACGTTCTTGTTATACTCGTATGGTGCTTTAATGATACATTTAAAAAGCGCACATAATAAGCAACTGTTCATCATCCTCCACAGAAGGAACACATCCATGTGAAAATTATGCTTTACTCTAGGAAGAACAAAGTTAACGGATAAGCAAAGCATTTTTAGTGGCATTCATCTCAACATTGTTCGAACTAAGCTTAAAACACGTTCAAATATAACAATCAATTTCGCTAATAGTCGTATTTTATTTGTAAGCTCGGTCACCGGTTTTCTCAAATACCTAAGGTAACCATTATTTTCATTAAGAAAAAAATGTTAATAACAATGGCTCATCAATTCGAAAAGCTTGTAATTTCGAAATTAGGAAGAACAAAAACAATAACAGTTTAACCAGAAAAAACGGAAAAAGAAGGCTCGCCGTCCGCCAAGATAAGGAAAATGTAAGGAAAATGTTGTTGAGAAGAGCTGTAAGGCAAACGTTTGTTCCCAAGCGAGCAGGCGCGACAATCGAGCTTTGTTCTTGGGCGCGAGAAAGCGAAAGTATATATGTAATAACATGCGCAAAGAGAAAAAAAGCGTGCGAGCGTAATAAATCAGCGACTAATTTTCACTAGTCAATTAAGCTATTCGTCTCCCGCGTTTATGTATTTCGCTACAGTCATTCCTTCCATTTCGCGCTTATTGTTTAGTTGGAATTTCTATATATATGTATCAAGGCAATTATAAATCTTAAGTCGGTGCACTTTGCGAGATCGCGCACGTTTCCCAATAGTGTGTAGCTTTACTCGTCAAATGCCTTTTCATGATTGCAAATTAACGACTGCGTGCTTCTGACTTGCGTATTTTTTAACTTTCGGTTTCGATTTCTATTCTCACGTTTGGAGATACATATTTCTATTGTGGATTTAGTGTGTTTTCTGGAAGCATTTTGAACTTTAATTTTTTTAAATGTTAGAAAATGAAAAATAAATTGGACGGTGCGTTGTACAAGTCTTGATAAAGTAATATTTTTTTCGATTAATTTACTGAGCGGCATTCGACTTAAACAAACTTAAACTTAACTAAACGTATTTGTATATACTTGATCATATACTTATTTTCAATAGAAATTGAAAAAAGTTACATTAACAAAGAGCTGAAGCAGAACAAATAAATTATAAGATTTTTACATAACCGTTATTATTATGTTGTCTGTGTACGTAATAGTATTATACTGATTTCAATACAATAATCGAATCGTTGTGTTAATGAATCGATATTATCGTATGAATAGTCGCATCTAGAATACGTAAGAGAAAAGATAAAGTAGAAAGTAAGGTCACATATATAAAAAAAACTAAACAATTTTTGAGAATTCGTGCTTTTGCCCTTTCACTCTCATATGCTTCTTTCAGCTCTCGAATTCAGCAGTTAACATCAACGTCGATGTTATTATAAGCATATGTATATATATATATATTTCGTATTTATACATGTGGTTAAGACAGTCTGCAGTTTCATACATTCGATTACAGGCTATATTGGATGGAATATTTTTTAGCTCGCGCTTTCTTCTCTGTACTTCATCGGTGAAAACATCAAAAGTCGGACGAGTTTCTTTCGAATTAATGATTTTCATCGTGTATGTTGTCTATACAGTATCTCACTTTTTACAGCACAGCCAATGACAGACTTATGAAACTCGAGTAAATTTTTCCATTAAAGCGTATCTTCGACGATTCTACAGAGAAAAGCCAAAGATTTGAATTTTTATAAGTCGAAATTTTTAATAGTGACATTTGAAAGATCTCCGTTTAAAGATATAAAGCGTACGGACACTCGACCGCATAATCGTACCTGCTTCATATTGTAAAATTTGATTAAACGAAAATTCGTATAGAGAACTAATCGACTCCGTAACTAAGCGAACGAATTACAAATTCTAGTATACATGTTTGTACGTGACCGAAATTCGAACTTAGTTTCTATTTCCTGATTACGTCAACTGCTACGATTACTCACTGTGTAACTATGATTAAAAGTATCTAAGTACATAAAATGTATAATTAAAAAAATTAAAATAAAAAAAAAAACAATTTAATTAGGATTCTAAAGTTGCATTACAATTTTAAAGTGCCATGAACAAATATTATCAAAATGAAAAGGCATAGAACTTTTTCTCAATCGCACGTTATTTTGAAATCTTTTGCAGTAGCAAGTAATAATAATAATAATGATAATAATAATAATAATAATAATAATAATAATGATGATGATGATGATGATAATGCACGAAAAAACATTATGGGAAAAAAGGACTGATTTCGCGAGAAAGTAGGTATTTGCGCTCTCTGATTAAAGAATACCGTTTTTTAAGATCCACTTAAAACTGCCAAATTAAATACTTTTACTTTCTTTCGTGAAAGGAACACCATTCAAAGTAAAAGAAACGTACGAGCACAAGTATCGGCTGTTCACTTCTGCAGTTCATCAATAAAAGTTTGTTGAGTTACGAAATATTCAAGCTCAACACTGATCTGTACTTTTACTTTCCATATATAGCAGCAAGAACTCGGGTTCGAATTTCTTTTTCTTTGCTCTTGTTTACTCTATTATGATGCTATTATCTCGCGTTCACGTGAAAATGTAGGGCACGACAGGGAGTATAATTTGTTGTCATTACGCGATTATCTCTGGCACATCAATGAAAGCAGCTTTTTCAGTTCAACTAGCCAAGAAATAACATAGCGAGGGTACAATGTGGTTTATTTTGATGCGGCAATGTTTTTTTATTACACAATAAACCCAAATTCTTACATACCCGATTTAGAGAATAAACATATTTCTTCCGTTGAAAGTATACATTCATCCATCGATTGATAAAATCTAACCATAGTGAAAATTTGTTTTGCGGCAGCAAAAATAGAAAATCTTGACATCTCTCGCTCATCTATCTACAAATATTGTAAGTACACGCGAACGTTCTTTGTAGATGCTGTCCACGATAATACGTGAGTCCATTACAGATTTAACACAAGATATCTCGATCGATCAAT